AGCCGCTCTTCCTCTGATGAAGAGAAGGGTGGAGGAGAAGGGGCTGTAAGGATAATTGGAGAGAATGAGCCCACCACCTTAGGCACAAAGGCTGGGTTGGGCTGCAGTGAGACCCTGACATTCCCTGGACCAAACCTGGTGCAGAAGGGGTGTACTGAGAGTGCATGGACATCGCTAACACGTTTAGCAGATGCCAAGGCCAACAACAGCACTGTCTTTAAGGACAGATGTTTGAAGTCTGCCTCATCCAACGGCTCAAATGGAGGCCTGGAGAGTTCATCCAACATCACCGCCAGGTCCTATGGGGGAGCCAGGGACCTAGGGACTGGAAGGAGCCTGTGTGCACCTTTCATAAAACGGTCCACCAAAGGGTGTTGGCTGGCTGTTTTCCCTTCAAAGCCTACATGACAGGCTGAAATAGCAGCTGTCGTGGCACCATTTCACCAGGGCAGAGATGCGGGAAATAAACAAAGTGGAAACTGTGTGGTCTCGATCTCAGATTATTTAATAGAAAGATGCATATGCAAGGAATGAGCAGAGCAGGACAGACGTGAATCAAAGCGCCTGTCAAGCTCACGCTGACCCGGAAACAGGAAACAGACAATATTTAAACATCCTGCTAACAAAATAAGAGCGTCAGAGATATGCAGGAACCAATGAGATAGTTACAAGTAAATAGGCCTTGAGATTACATGAGTACATACAGTATCTTAAGAATCATGAGAAACAGATTATATAATGGCAGTTATCAAGAGATACAGAACAGGACATGTCAAGGTAATATGCAGTTAGGGAGTCATAGGATATTCTTCCATCACACAGCCAAGTACACTTTAATTGTGGAAAAGGCCTTTTGTTTGTAAATCAGCTGCTGCAGAAATTTCTCCAACTGGACATTGAAAAGAAAGGTGTCCTCTCTCAGAGCACCACTTCTCAACTATCCTCCACTTACAGTCAGACAGGGACCTGGTGGAGGGGGCTCTAGCACTCTCGATTGTATTTATCACATCCTGAGGGAGCCCTGTAGTATTTAAATTATACCACTCATGGGCCAGGCCCACAACTTTAGGTGATCTGGGTGTGGGTGAAAAACTGTTCCCCCTGCCTGAGACAGCATGTTCTCCCGTAAGGGGAGCTGCCATGGTTGTCCGATCAGGAGCTGATAAATCTCTGCCAGCCAGTGCATCGCTTGCCAATGTGGAGCTATCAGTATCAGCCTGTGACTGTGCTGCCTCACTCTGGACAGAGTGGGAGCTATCAGAGCCAAAGGGGGGGAAAGCATAAAGAAGAACGTGGGGCCAGGCGTGCGCAAGCGCTTCCATGCCAAGGGGCGCGTTCTGATTGCGTATGGAAAAAAAACAGTGAGCACTGAGCATTCTCCCTGGAGGCAAACAGGTCTACCATTGCCTGCCCAAAGTGGAGCCACAGTTGTTCCACTATGGTTGGATGGAGAGTCCAGTCTCCATATAATGGAGCACCCCTGGACAACATGTCCGCACCGCGGTTCAGGACCCCAGGGACATGGGTGGCCCTGAGTGACAGGAGGTGCATGCTGCTCCAAAAAATCAGTTTGCGTGCCAGAGTGTGCAACCGGAGTGAGCGCAGCCCCCCTGCCGGTTGATATGAGCTACTGTAGTTGTGTTGTTTGTCCTTACAAGAATGTGATGACCGCGCAGAAAAGGGAGGAAGCTTTTCAGCATGAGAAACACCGCTAAGAGCTCCAAATAATTTATGTGAGACCGCAGCCTCTGTACACCGTACGACACCCTCGGACTCAGAGAAAGTCCAAAAGGGAGCACTGTGTATTCGTAGCAGACGCCCTGAAAAGTGAATCTCAGATATTTCCTGTGTGGTGGGTACACTGAAATGTGGAAATATGCGTCCTTTAAATCGACCGAGGTGAACCAGTCGCCCTGGCGCACTAGGCAAACGGGATGCGTGTGTGAGCACCCGGAATTTGTATTTTCTTAGATAGCTGTTCAGAGCCCTCAGATCCAGGATAGGGCGAATACTGCTCCCCCCCCACCCCCGTTTGGGAATGACAAAATACCTGGAGTAGTGACCATTCTGACTCCAGTCCACGGGTACGGGGCGAATTGCTCCCTTCCTTAGCAGCTCAGAAATTTCCTCCTGTAGCGCACGAGCAGAATCCCCCTGGGCTTGATTGAATTTTATTCCAGAAAAGCGAGGGGGAGCCGCGGCGAACTGGAGCCTGTATCCCCGCATTATAATGCGATGGATCCAAGCTGAAGCCATGAGGGAAACCCATCTGTTGTTACGGGTGGAGAGTGACGTCACAGCGGAATCTCCCGCTGATTTCACACATCGTCTTGTGGCGCCCTCTGGCGACAGAGGAGGCATGTCGCACATGGTAGGCACTGCGCATGCGCGAGGTGATTTTATTTTTTTACAGATTCGGTCCCAAGCCGCTGCCTGCGATGGGGGGTGGCCGCCTCCAGGAGCGAAAATGGAACAGAACTGTTCATTTTATATTTTTATCTTTAATATTTTTAACTGCGCCCTCGACCTTAGGTCTGGATGTGGCAGTGAAATATTTATTTCTGAACGTGTGTGTGTGCTTGTGTGACTTGGTGGGACAGATCCGGCTGTCCCAACAATCGAGTTTCCTCCTCCTCTGGCTGGGGAACCACGCAGCGGCGGGAAAATGGAGGGGCACACACTCTTCGGCCAGGCATGGAGGGCTGGTGAACGGGGAACATCCAGCTCCATCACCTGTGAGAAAACAGGGCCATCAAGCAGCCCTTTTCATCTTCCTGGCCTGATGACTAGGAGCCTGAGCAGGTTGTACAGGAGGAACAGCTGCAGGCTGTGTCAATGTCTTTAGGGGCCAAACCGGTTTTCCCTCCTGGCCGGGCGGGGCGGGTGGAGATGACTGAGGTTTGGGCCGCTTGGGGATTTTAAAGGCAGGAGGTCGCGAAGCTGCCTGGGCAAAGGTATGCCACGGGGCCGCCTGGGTGGGGTGCTCTGATTTCCTGGGCTGGCAAAATCGTACCGCCTCATCCTCCTTTTTTCGGGCCTCACATGGCTTCTGCATTGAGGCCAAAGCGGAGCCGAAGATGCCTTCCGGCACTATCGGCATGTCCAGAATGTCCTCTTTTTCCCTGTCCGACAGCAGTTTGAGCCACCTTGTTCATTCCTGCAGCACCATCATCCCCATTGATTTCCCGGTGGCCTGGACTGTGCAGCGCTGCACGCGTAAGCAGATTCTGTGATCACGGTAATTACCTCCCACACCTCAGGGTCTAGCTTGGTGGCCATATCCTCGCACAGCTCAGCTTGGTACGCTGAGAGCATGGAGGAAACATTGAGTGCTTTAACAGCGACAGCTGCACCTCTGTAGGCCCTTTCAGTCAAGGCGGACTGCTTCGACGGCAGTATGGGGGTTCTGGAAGAAGTCGGGAGCCGTGGTGCAGGTGGGCTGCCACCAGCGGCTCCATCGGGGGCATGTGGTGTATGCCTAGCTTATCCATGCCCTCAAAGTCCAAAGACAAGGCTCCATGGGTTTGAGATTTCCCCCTGAATGGGCGGTCCTTCCAGGAGACCACAACCTCGTCCAGCAGCTCCGGGAAAACCGGGAGCAGTTGTTTCACCGTCCTAGTAGCCTGTGGCAGTTTCTTCCCTTCGTAACGGAATCTGGTGGGCTCCGTTGCTACTTCAGGCCATGGGATATTGAGTCTGGAGGCAGCACGCTTGCACACGGTCTGCATGTCCATGCTCACAGCAGGAGAGGCTACTGCTCTCTCCTGCTCATCCCAGGGGACAGACGAGGCGCCAGCCTTTGCAGCCTGAGCGCTTGGGATGAAGACTTCATCATCATCTTCATCATCTTCGGATACGAGGAGCTCCGAGATTATCTCGTTATCTTCCTCGTAGTCCAGTTCCAGGACATCTTTGACAGGCGAGGGCGCCAGGGCTAGTTCCAGCTGGGAGCCCCAGCTATCTGTAGCTCCTGGTTCGGCGTCTACGTCTTCCCACTCGTTGACAGTGTCGGGCGGCGGCCCACCCGTCGACAAGTATGGGTCCCTGCCGGAGAGGCTAGCTTGGCGTGCTAGCCATCTGCGGAGGCTCTTCATGGTGAACCGGGAGCAGTTCGCGCACGAGCCCAGGGCGTCAAGCGCCAGGCGGGCATGTTCCAGCCTGAGGCACGTCGAGCACACCTGGTGTGGATCCTTGCTCGAAATTTTGTTCCCGCAGCCACAGAGACRAGCCTCCGAGTCGCTGCCTCCTCTGGTGTGAAGAGAAGCGGAGTCCATTTTGGTCGCTGGTTTGCTAAGCAAAATTGTTTCAAGCTAAACAGGTATGTGAAGTCTGAAACAAAAGGCTGTATTCTTTGGCATGGTAATACAGCAAAGTTTGTATGACGAAAGTGCTCCAGACTATGGTGAAGGCTGAAGCTAACGCAGCTAGCACCCGTAGACGGAGTTAGCCAAATCACTTAAATCGGTGGACAGTTAAGCTAGTCTGCTAAAGAGAAATGCCTCTCGAAGCGAGAAGAGGTTTTCGAATGACACTGCGTCATAGCGCAAGCTACTTAAAGGGTAGGTGACGCATGTGTCACGATCACCAGCCAATCAGGATTGGCGTAATGAGACACATGCTTCTGAGGAATCCGCAGGGGGTGTATCCCATAGTGAGACATCGAAACGAATGCTATGAATAAGAACTGCAAGAAAAAAGTTCATAAAACAAATGATAATTAAACTAATAAAACACTTTTTTTTCAATTTATCAAGGCTAAAAAGGGTCCTTGTTGAATTTTGTTGTGTCTGGTTTGCCTCCATCAGTGACACGCTATATCCTCATTTCAAAAGAGCAGTCCCCACCACCGCTGCACCTGTTATTCTTTGTGCACACAGTCTTATTAAATCGCACGCAACACGCCCACATTTAACAGACTATTTATTTATTTTCATGGGCATTTAGTACTGATTATCTACTGTCTTGATAAATAAGCTCCTAACCTTTTCTCTTCCCCTCAGGGCTTGTAGAGGTGGTGCTGAATACACTCTCAAACTCTTCACTGGTCTACCTGGATGGAGAGAGGCATGCTGGGAGAAAAGTCAGCCATCTTGTGGTTCAATACCTTTTGGAGCTTCTTTACAACATCCTAAAACAAACATCGTCTGTTGTCCGAGCAGCGCTGCAGGTACAAACACTCCATTCAAATCTTCACTGTGTTGTGTACAACAGCATTCATTTCAAGGAACTGAATTTAGTTAAGTTTTTATAATCTTTCTTTATTAAGGGTTAGCTGTGTTCAAGTAGTTTGACTTCTTCATGTTACTTTTATCTGAATATTTTTTTTCACCACTATTTGTCCATCTTATCTATGGTGAGACTAAATTCACCGACAAAATCACAAAGTCAACTTCCTCAAAATGTTGCCCGTGTGTGTGTGTGTGTGTGTGTGTGTGTGTGTGTGTGTGTGTGTGTTCGTGTGTGTGTGCTAGCAGGTTTAAGCAACTGCAATATTGAAGTTGTGGACTCAGGAGAACGCACATGAGGTCCTGAGTCCCTGGGACACGCACACACACAAACACACTAAGAGGCACATACTGAGGGGCCTGTCTGGCTATGTCCCTGCGGCCTCATTATCACTGCTGGCTTTGTCCTCAGCTTGCCTCGCTATATAGACACACGCGCACAAAAACCAGCCCCCATCTCCCCATACTGTGCACCTCAGTCCAACACATACATATTAATGCCTGGACAAGGAGGGGGGGGACTAAAGTGAAAAGAGGGTAAAAGACTGGGTGATCGAGAGGACAGAAAGGAGAAAGGGAAGGATGGAAAGACTGAGGATGGAGCAAGGAAAATGGGCAGCGGAAATCAATTCTACCAGAAATGCAAAGCTCATTAAAAAGGGAACTTCTGCCCAAACCAAATTCATTTGGGTAATAAGGTCTGATAAGGAGAGAGGACGTGACTCGATCGCTCTCCCCAAACTTTTGGTCGAGAGAGTAAGTCATATTACAGCACACAGTGGGGAGAAAAAACTGAGAGCAAGGAGAGGGGAGGGGGAGTGACTTTGGAACAGAAAGAGAATGTATGCCAGAATTAATCACCTTATTCCACCACTAATTGGCCTGAAGTTTAACTGTAGGCATGAACTGAGCTAAAATAACTGAGTTACTGTAACGCCATTGATAAAGGGAAAAAATCTGGATAACACGAGAAGACTAGTTTACATAAGATGCAAAATAATAATAATAATTAGTGTGAAAATTAAATTGTTCTGAATGTCTTGTTAAGGACGGACGGTGGGGGGGGGGGGGGTTGCTGTAACACAGAAAAGCTTATTTCCCATCCTCGTCTTGTACAGTGTCTCTCTGTGTCAGTCTGTCAGAATAAGTCTTGACAAGTCTCTGGATAAATCATTATTGACTGTCAAATCTCTATAAATGATTTAACTTGTGTGTGTGTGCATGTCTGTGTGTGTGTGTATAGAGCCAGAGGCTATCTTGTCCAGCAGCAGAGACGGAGGCAGCAGAAAAACTGCTCGTAGCCAACAGACCCCTGAGTCAACTCAGCACTCACCTGATTCACATGGTGAGACCAACACTCACACGTCCTGTGTGTGTGTGTGTGTGTGTGTGGGGGGGGGGGGGGGTCAGTTTCTGCAAGCATGTATAACTTCTGATGAAACATTTGAGAATTTATCATTTAAAACTTCATGCCACAAAAGGACCTAAAAGGGTTTGTACAGTGAACAGTATAATATTGAGAAATTCCACTGCTGAGTAGTTAGAGACAAAATATCCACAGCAGCTAAGTTTCTGTGTAAAGATTTGTATTTCAGCTACTTTTATTCCCCACATTTGTACATCTTTAGTGCACTACAGACCATGTCTACAGTTCTTTGTATATTTTTAAAAAAATCAACAGTTTCTGTTGCATTTGTTTGCATGTGAATAAGAGGAGCAGGGTCATTAGTAAAGAGAAGCAAAATGTTTTACAAGTACTTTCTAAAATGGAGAGTTTTAAAACCTTGTTTTTGGTGTGTCAGTGAGAAATTGAAGAAAGCAGCTGGTTTTGCACATGCCCGCTGTTGCTTTGTATATTGTGCATACTGGAAACTAACAAAAGTGCATAAATACAAAAACAAATAACATTTGCCTTTTTAAATCACAGTTACTAAGACACTGTGTCTTCAGCTCAGAACAAATTAAGAATTAAGGCTATTTTAACAAGAACAACTTTGCTTTTAATTAAAAATATAAAACCTATACCCATCACTAATCTGTAAATAGAAACATAACTTTTAAAGTTTATCTACCTACAATGTTCTTCCTTTTTACCCTTGAAGAAACACACTTCTTATAACATTGATACAATCGATTATAGTTAAACATGAATGACTTTGTAATTATATCCATATATATTTAGTGTTATTACGCCTTAAATCAAAATTAGTTGTTTGTCTGATAAACATTTGAAATAACTTTATTTTCTTTTAAGCAATTTGACAATTCAATGTAACATCTGGTAATAAATGTTTATAAATGCTATATAACCACTCCAGATGAACATCTTGGTTGACTAAAACTATTAAGTGCAATATTAAGCCCCGAAGAGCTGTATTTATATTTGTGCTGGTTTTAATGCAGCCTGATGCAATCGGACAAGTGGAAAGATAAGAGTTAGCTACAATCTTGTCCTTTCTGTTGAGAAAATGTGAAAATGTTATCACTGCAGCCTTTGAAAGACTCAGGTCTTGTGGCACTAAACACATTTGTGACACTTAAATTCATGCTTTAAAAGAGAAACTCCCTCTGTTCCTTAATGTATCTTCAAAATATCAGAAAGTATCAGGTAAAAAAAAACTGTTTTGTTGTGCCTGAAAACTGTCAGCTGACAGAGTGATGTTTAAAAATTTCACACAACGAAACGTACTGATTACACCATAGTCTTGTTAGTAAGCTGCTCAAAAAATAAAAACCATAAAATGATCACAAACTGAGAGATCATTTTAAAATGGCATCAGTCCTAACTATTAAAGAAAGGGAAATTAGTACATATTATAATTATTCTATTTATTTAAAAAAATCCCTTGCTTGAAAATGATTTTAGAAATTAAACAGTTGGACTTAAATTAACCACCTGTTCAGGCAGCTGGTGAGGCAGCAAATTTGTCCTACCTAAGAAGAAAATCAATTTTATTTTAGTGTCATTTTACAGCTTTGGTTTTCTCATGATTTTTTTTAATTTACATTTTCTAACGTCAAAGACTTCAATCTATTGCATGCAGGAAAAAGCATCCACATCATCCTGCGCTAACAGGAGCTAACGCTTTGCAGCGATGTGGGGGAAATTTTTCATTTTTTAATGTGTTCTGCTTGTTGTTGATCAAGCTTACAGTCGATGGATTCTGGTTGTCTGCTGAGCAGTTTGGGCATTTCCAGTGAGAACTATGCTTTTAATTACCAAAAAAATAATTAAGATAAGTAAATAAACATGTTTATCCACCCACAAAATGAATAATTTAGAATATTCCTTCTACTCTCCCAAGGAGTGGTTGCCTTTCAACACGTTAAATCTGAACTTCTACAAGAATTTATGAAACAAACTAAAATCTAAAATGTGTAAAAAAAAAACAGTCTCATTGAGACTAATTTTAGCATGAGAAACTGTGAAAGTAATATTCTCTCATAAAAATACTGAGGCAGATCAAATGCCACATTTAGACCTTTGTTCTGTAGATAAATAAGATCAAAGCCGAGCTGTTTTGTTAAACCTTCAGAAAAGACACATCATCAATAAGATATTGTTGCTGCTATGAGTCATAATGGGCCGAGTGTTCTGGTTTGAGAGGTGGCTTAGCTATATTTGGATTTAAATTGGGCTTGAGAACCATTGAAATTAATGGTGTCTAAAATGGTTCTGGTCTGTATTGAAGCACCAGATCATATCCTGAGTTTTAAGAGAGGTTGAATCTTGTAACAAGATGAAACAAAGCACAAGGAAAAACATTTAATTAAAGTTTAGCATTTTATTTGATTATTTAACCATTTCATAATCATCAATTCTGTAAAAATAAATAAATAAATAAAAATGATATTTCCAAGACAGCCTTTCTACAATCTGGCCATGCAATCTGCTGTTTTATAGACTGGAAAATTACATTTATCCAACTCTGCAGCTGTTAGTGATGATGGTAACTGAAGATTAATTTTTATCAGGAGTAGGATTTTAAATTTGAAATTACTCTGTGATTGTGAATAGTTTACTGATGTAGCCTTCTAGAAACGTTCTGCATATTGACAAAGAAGTGAACACATATTAGGGGTATCTCAGATGGATGGCAGACTTGGATGAAAGTAATGCAGTGAAAATAGATGAGAAAAATCCACGCAAAACAGAGGACGCTCTGAGGTATCCTAGAAAGTCAATGACTTATTGGACAGAGGAGGGACAAAAAAGGCGAGTGGGGGGCCAAGGGAGGAGGGCGTCTCCTGGGACTTAATGAACACATTACAGGGTTGATGGAGCAGCCAACACACTCTCAACCTCGGCACAGCCCCTTTTACCCTTTTGAAAGATAAGTGAGTGAGTGCATGTGTCAATAACAATCCAACATCACTAAAACTGGAAAACCTGCATCAGAAGCCTGGTATTGATGTAAGAACATTCCCATTTAATTGGTGCTCTATATTTTGACAAAGCAAACAAAACATAGTTTTAACTCTTGATAATTACTATATTGTCAGTTGCTGTAGTATTGTCTGTTAATGCAATTTCAAACTGACATTAGTAAGAAGAGCACAGAAGAAGTTTCCAGTTTTATCATGAATGTTAATTTTGGACAAAGTCTGACGTTTGGCCCTTTTAAATTAAACAGGAGCGCAGTGACAGAGAGGAGAATGTAGAAATGACAGCCTGCAACCGAAAATGTGGAAAACAGGACAAGAGATCTGCTTCATGGAAAACTCACCTCAGCTTTAGCCTTTTAGGTTTTATGTTAGCTCTCTAGCTAACATACAAATGGCCATGTTTGGCATTAGCTCTGTAGCTAATTTTCTAAGCATCACATGGATCACGTTAGACTGTTTCAATCCATATATGGGGCAGAACATTGAAACATAATACAAAATATAACTTTATCACACACTGTGATGCACACATTTTTTAAAGTAATTAGAAGTTTTCATTTGTCCCAAACAACTTTTAGCAGAATAGAGAAATAATGTACATGTATTAAGGCCAACATGTGCAAGTATCCCTTTAAAGATCCTCTTAAAGAACATTTTCATTTCTCTCTCATTAAAAATTATCATTAAAGTTGAAATTCACAAAGTGATTGCAGGATTTTTGTGAAAGCAACTTAGAGTTTTGCATGAGAGATGTGGGCCTCAAACTGCGCAACCAAAACAGCCTCTTGCTGCACTTGCACAGTTTGCTGAAATTTAAATGAGCATATATTCAGAAAGTTAGAGCAAAAAAAAGGTATATTTATGTAGGTAATTTTAGTGACTATGTTGCATTGACAAATAAATTGTCAAAAAGCATATAAATACTTTCTGCTAGTTTACATTTAGAATAACGCTTTTGATTACAGAATATTTTAAAACTAGTGCTTTACATTCCCAGGTTAGCAGATAGAACTAAAAGTAACTGTTTTCTGGTATAATTATTTTGTGCCCACCACCTCATTAAAAATACAGTGTAATGTTGTTATTTACAACAAAAGAACTGACACAAAAAACAGGAACTGCACATAAACCTTAGGAATAAGTAACAGCTTATATAAAACCTTTGTCAAATTGGGCCATCAAAGTTTTTAAAACCCAAAACGATTATTAGCTTTCGTGCTGTTGCCTTTCTTACCACGTCATTGTATTTACCTTATATTATAAGCCAGAATAATGTTTTACTGTTAGTAAAATGGTTAAAAATACAGTTTATTCTTGAACCAATGACTATATTTGAGGTTGATGAGGGGTTAATTACATTATAATTACCTGAAGTGCAGACCCTAAAACTACCTTTTGTAAATAATGAGCACTAAATGCAGGAGTGAAAGAGGTCCTTTTTGTTTAAACACCAGTTCTCTCCTGGTTTTTATTTTATTTTATTTTATTTTTGTCAAGCGTTAAGTTTAGAAATTGTCTTTTGTCTCATTTTTTCTTTGGTACAAAAGTTTACATGTTTGACTTCTTTACTGAAGTCAGTAAAACTGGTAACATGGTATGTACTGTATTTGATATGTTAACTTTTGTGGACATGAGGAGTAAAGAGGTGCTTATAATACAGTATTAAAACCCTGGGATTACTTGGGATTAGGAATGTTAAATTCTGATTGATATTGAGATGAGACAAGTAGATCTCAGCAAACAACAAAAAGTAGATATTGGTTCAAAACAGTTTGGGCACCCCTGATTTGGACAATTATAACACAATTTTACAAAGCCAGTCTTGCAATCTTATCTTTTCCTGCCAATGATTTCATAGTAGCAATGATTTTCCCTGCTTGTCTTTATGTTGGTTTTAAGATGCATCATTGCACTCTCCATTGTTTTCATCAATAAGCATGTTGACATCAGATTGGTGAAAATTCTGACATCAGCTAAGCTTTTTGTTGAACACTATGGCATTAAACAAACTATATCATAGAACTGTTCAAATTAAGTAACACTAACAATTTTCCAGACCTGTACAAAGTTTATATTGTTTTAGATGTCAAAACTGAATTGTAAACCTTGTTCTTTTATTAATCTTTCATATAAATCTGCAGCTGTCCAGTGAAAACCAGGAGGTGTGGGAGGAATCTCTTCAGTGTTTGTTTCTACTGGTACAGCTGTATGGTGCAGAGGATCAGGACTGCTTGTCACCTTCGTGCCTTCAAAGCTTCTCACACATCCTGCGGATGCACATGAACACGGAGACCCCTAAAATTCAACGCACAACACTTAGGATCATAAAGCGACTGGTGAGTAAAGTGCTCACATGAGTACAGAGGGATCAGACCTACATTTCTGCTCTGCCAGTGCAGAATCGTGGTGCCGCTGCACGACGAAAATATTGAAATAATAAGACACTCACACGCACACACCCCGAGTCCTGCTGGGCGGCTGTTCTGGAAATGTGGAGTTTTCACCAGAGCTCGACTGACAGAGGGGTGCAAGACAGACTGAGAAAGAAATGCTGGTTCGTATCTTTCTGTCAGTTCCTGGTCAAGTTTCTGTCCAGTACTTATGAAAGCAAATCTGTAAGAGGGAAAATTTAAGTTACTGCTCCTCCAGCATAACAAATAACTTTATCTTTATGGAGTAACGCAAAGAAAACAGAGCTCTTACAGCTCATCATCAGAACTTCAGTTTTTCCAAAGGGACTATTACTTATCCTGACAAACAATGGTAGCTGCTGTGCAGATCTGTAAATTCAATTAACTTAAAAAAAATTACAACCACTAAAATACTGCTTAGCAGTATTATTGATAAAATCTGCATTAAAGCACTTAAAACATAGTTTGAGAGTATCTTCTGAAGAAAAAATACATGATTTTGTACTGCAAGTAAAAGCACTCAAATGAAGCTAGAAGAGGTGTTCATGTGAGAAATAAAGGCAAACCTACATTTTTATGCCAAACACTCATTTTTACAAAATTTGTGCTGCTCCTTAGTTAAAATCACATAGTTACAATGTTTCTTTCATTAACTCAGCTCTGGTTCTAAAGGTTTATAGTTGGTGAAATGTCGATTTATTTAGTCTTAATCTTTGCTGATTAATAATTTCACAAACTAAAAAGAAAATAAAGAGAAGTGGAGTTGATGAGGAAGTCCAGTGTAAAGACATTTTTAAGCTGTCAACATGAAGTTTTATAAAAACAGGTTTTTTTTGTACATGGCCATAAATTATGCAAAAAGCTGTGCTAATGTTTTGGCTTGGCCGCAGGGTCATGAAATAGTTTCTGCACGTGGGACACAAGGTCAGCTGCCACCTTCAGATCAGATGAACTGACCCAAGGCTGTGCCTGGGAGCTGCTGGACTTTGTAGCTGTGTGTTAGAGGGGAAAGAAAGAACATTTGCAAGCATGGATGTATTTGTAATTCCTCTCACTAATTAGTTCTAGCCACCTGAACCACCCACTCACAAGCTCCCTATGTCACAGTCTCTCTCTCTCTCTCTTTTTTCCTCTGTTTATCTGTCTGACAAATTTGTCCTCTTGTGCAAACTCCCTCATTACCCCTGTGTTGCTTCAGTGTGTCTGTGTGTTTAGTCCTCTCCACCCTGAGCAACACACAGTGGTGTGTTTCAGCTGTGTCCTTGTAGCCAGTGGACGGTGGAAGCAGAGCTAATTGATTTGGGTATAATTTTTCTTCCGTTCTCTTCAGCTCATTTGTTTTCCCCACTAACGCTCAAACATCGGAGTCAAGCTGTTAAAGTAAAAAATAAAACCCCGCTTACTGACGTCTTTAGATCAAAATGCAGATGTCATTTAGATTTTGCTCTTTTTGAAACATCTAGTTGAGCAGTTCTGAGCTTGTAACTTTCAGAAATCTAATAGATCTTGATATAACTTCACTAGAGCTGTTTATTTCACACATGCATCAACCCTGGTTGATAATTGTTTAACCTGTTTCGATCTGATGCACCGCACGAGTTTACCACTCACCATGTCCACAGGTTCATGTGCAGTGTGGCTTTTACCACAAATATATGTTCAAAGAAACACAATCACTTCCCCGTTCTCTTTCAAACACACACTCAGACACGCATCTGCCCTTCAACAAAAAGGCTTTTTAATTATCTTTCATTGATTTCAGGGCTTTATTAATCTCAATCAAAGATCCCGCTAATAGCTTGGGAACTGCAAAGGAGGGGAGAATGAATCGTTTCTGAATTAGTAAAATTCAACTTAACTTTTCTGTTACAAATTGAAAAGAATCAAAGAAGAATGCTAATTAAATGGGGTGGGGGTGTGATAAGCTGTTAGAGGAGGAATCATGTTTTATTTCATTTATAGTAGGGTCGTCAGTTTCTGAACTTGTTAGTTTGCCTCTGGCACCACAGACTTTATTGTATCTGTAATATTAGGTAGTACATCAGAGATAATGTTTGTTGATCTGTAGTATTCTGTGAAATGGATCCTTGTTAGTTTTGGCCTGACTGCTAACCTTATGCTTGCAGTTAGAATTGTCCTCCATCCTTTAACCTCTTGAAAGCCAAAATTTCCCGAACATGAGCCTTTATGCAGCACACTAATTTAGTCTCCCCTTAATTTTGAACTGCTTCTAGCTTTAAAGACTGTTTTTTCTTGTTGGATTTTATCAACACATTTCACTCACATTACCAAGTTTTGCAGCTGGAATAGCACTAAATGCTTTACCGTGGATAAAAAATGTTTACAATCCTCTGTGCAAATTGCATTTTTTTGTTATATAAAAAAACTAAACCATAATAAATGATTTCAAAATGTTTTTCACCTTCACTGTGGCACACTGAATACTCAACAACACAAATCAAAAAATAGTTGTAGGGGAAAATGAAAAAAAATCAAAGTGTAATAAACCTGTTTATACATGTGTGCACACTCTGAAACTAAAAATTTGTTGATGCACATTTTGACTTAATTACTGTCTTTATTCTTCTTGGGAAAACCCCCGCCATCAATTAAAGTCACTCTGATCAACCTGAAACAAAGTAAATAAAGTCTCAGCAGGATTTTCCTGATACTCAGTTCAATCCTACAGTAAAACCTATTGTACACAAAGTTCACAAAGCATCAAAACATCTCATTAAAAGGAATCAGTCAGAAAGAAGTTACAATTTCCCCATCATTAGAGATCTAATTGAACACAGGGAAGACAGTAAAATATGGAACTAATGATGTTACAAAGAACTTGGAGCCCCTCCAAATTTGCTCAAAAGTCAAGACAAAATTTAATCTTACTCTGCAAAAAAAAAAAAAAAAAAGAACAGCAACTTTGAAGGAGCTGCAGGATTTTCTGACTTGTAGTTCAGGACAGGGGTATGTGTGAAAGTGTTCTCTGTATGTATGAGTCACTGTAGGTAAGAAAAACGCCCAGCCTTGGCTTAATATGAACAAATAAATAAAAAGTCTCCTAAAAACATGTGGGACCACCTGTTCTGGTTTGATGAGCCTGAAGTTTAGGCCACAATTCCAAAACATCTACTTTGTGCAAAAACAAAACTGTGGATCATAAAAAAATACTGTGGTTGAAACATCATTCTTAGAATAATACTGTAGGTTTGCTTCTCTTCAGAGGATTTGGAGGTTTTAGTTAATCAGGTTTCAAAAGGCTACTTTCGTCTCAAACGTTCAGCAGGCAGGAATGGTTAAGAAGATAAAATGTATTTTTCAAAATGGCAATAAAAGAAACGAAGCATTTCTGATTCATGTATTTAATAGAAAATCTGTTAGGTGAGCTGAAGAAGGTTCTGTACAAAAGATGCTCCTTCGTTCTGACAGACTTAAAGGTTTTTAGCAAAGAAGAGTAGTTGAGGTGTGGCTGCTTAAAGACTCCTTCCTAAGAAGACAGAAAGAAAGCTGTAATTAAATCAAAAGTTGCTTTAACAAAGTTTTCAGCATGTGCTTTTTTTAAATTCCACGTCTTGAACCCCCCCCCCCACCCACACACACACACACACACGCACAACAGTACTTTTTTTGATTATCTTGTACAGATTATATACAGTACATCTCTGTTGAGTTGGAAAAAGTTGTAAATTATGCATCATAGTTTATTGTTTTACATCAAAAAAGAAATTCTTCTGTGATACACTTACAACCTGTCCAGGGTGTACCCCACCCCTCAGAGTGACTGCTGGGTATGGGCACCAGAAACCCTGAAAGGAAGAAATGGATGGATGGATGGATGGATGGATGGATGGATGGATGGATGGATGGATGGATGTTTAATTCTTCCTATATCTACTGTGTGTTTGTGGTGTGTGAATTGTCTGCCCAAACTTTTAATAGGAAAGAATAAAAGCTATTTGGTAGTTTCATTACATGTCAACACAAACAGGTTGTTGTTCAGATCACTGATTTTGTTCAGTTCAGACGAGCACAGGAAGGTGTAAGCATCTGGCAAATTAACCAAACTTTGTGCTTCTGCTTTCGAGTGACAAAACATAAATGAACTTATTTTAGTAGGATTATTCATGAAACAAAACCTTAAAAATCATCTTTGTGTGTCTCTGTGAAACACATAACTTAAAGTTTTGTTCTTCCTGCATCGTGTTCATGTTGTTCAGGTAAATCTCTTGTTTCTCTGCTGTCAGGTACATTGTCACTCCTTTGAACCTGGTGTCTGTCATGACAACCTGTGCTGTACGTCTGTACGGCTGCACGTCTGTCTGTCTTCTGCAGCCTGTCTGTGTGCGTCTAATATGACTCCCAAGTTCAAAATTATTGACTCACTTTTTTGTCATGTTGTGATGTAGAGTGGGGAGGAGGAGGAAAGAGGACAAAGACGAAATGGAGAGCGAAGATGTAGAGGGGATGATAAGTAGGCATGTGTCTGCATCTGGTTGGCAGGCACGCTCGAAGGTCCTCCAAACCTGGTGGTGAAGGCACATGTGTGTGTGTGTGTGTGTGTGTGTCTCTGTGTGTGTGCACTTGTGTAGAAAAATAAGCAAGCGAGGGATACATCTTTGTCTCCTCCTAACCTTGTTTCTTAGCAACAACCTTGCTGTGTCGCCACAGAGACAGACGTGATGATGTCACCAGAGATCAGAGAAACCACCGTCAACACACTGGCACAAATCCACTTAGCACACACAAACTCACACACACACACACACAAACAGAATGATAGAGACCTACATGGTTCTAGTGATTATTATGTTTGGTTAGAATGCACTAGTTTTTAGTTTTTAACACTGAACTTTTTAATACATCTTTTTAAGTTGGAATCTTACACACACACACACACACACACACACACACACACACACACACACACACACACACACACACACACACACACACGTCTGTAAACAAGCAGTTTCAAAACTCACCAACCTGCATGTGTGAGACAGTGTGAAGTCTAGACAGGAAAGGAATAAAAACAGGGATAATGAAGAAAAAAATAAATGTATATGATGTATAATAATTTAAGGGGTGGCATGGTAGCTGGGTAAGTAGAGAAGTTGCTTCGCAGCAGGAAGATTGCTGGACTGAATCCCAGCCAGGCCCTTCTCTGTAAAGTTTGCATGTTCTCTCCACATTAATAGGCTTCCTCCCTAAGTGTAACTTGTTTGTCTCTATGCGTCTCTGTGATGGACTTGCACCGGTGTCTCCTGTGAACCTGAAAGGAAGAAGCAGGTGAGAATGGATGGATGGATGATTTAGTGAAGAATTGCCGGAGTCATTCCATTTTCTTTTACCCACTTGCAGAGAGTGGGTTCATATCTCCAGCAGTCTCTGTGTGAGAGGTGGGGTACACCCTGTGAAGATTTTATTATTTTATTACATTTCTGTGATTCTTACGTTGATGTTACTTACCAGTGTTTCAGTTTCCTCTGTGGTTCTGTTCTTCTCAACTGTTCCTAGTTGTTTCCTCTCCAGGTGTTTATGTTTATTGGTGTTACCTTTTATATTCAGTGTCCTTCAGCTTTCCATAGCCAGTCGTGTTTGCTCCCTCATGTCTTTCCCAGAGTTCTCCTTTGTAAGTACTTCTGCTGCCACAACATTTTGATTTTGTAAATAAATCAGTTTTCTTTCTTAACCTTCAAACCTTCTAAGGATTTCTCTGCATCTTGGATTCTAAACTCCACAAACACGACAGAATACATGAACCAATGTGCTCCCCGCAGACAAATAACTCTGTTCAATTTTTTTGGCGAGAGAAGATTGTTACGAAGGAAAGAGAGGAGGAAAATCTCTGTTAGTGGAACCCACTTGGTTGTTCAACCTACCTTTTCTTGTCCAGCACCTCGTTCAGCCGTGCTCTAGCACATCACCCTTTTCCGGTGCTCCACTGATCTCCAGCACCCTTCATTGCTCCCTAGCTTTTTGTTCATCTCCAACATCTCCCTCTTTTCCAGAGTCTTCATCGCCCACTGCACCCTCTACAGCAGCCCTCAAGTCTTCTTTGACTCAAGTTGCCTCTGACAGCAGATTCCAGGTTACAACATATGTTTCTCAGGAGCAGTGTTCAACCTGAAAAACTCAGTGAAATTCATGATGGCCTCCAGTGCATGGTAATCTCCTTCTGGACCATCATATGCATAAAAGCACAAATGGACATCTGTGGTGGAATCCTGGACATTCTATGCTCCCAGATGTCAGAATATCTTCCATGGAATGCAAGTGCAAACTCATGATGAGCTTGTTCACATTTTACTTGTATAGGAGTCTCTTTGAGGCCAGTGCACCTCCATAATCCAGTGACTCCTGCCATGATGGGCACCCCAGGACCAACTGCTGCACCTCGATGTGAGCCCCCTGCATCTGCTGATCCACCAGAGTCATTCGAGCAGTCAGCAGCAACTCACTGTGTCCCCTCTCCAGCATCCCCAAAATGTTACATGTTCTTCAGAGATTTATCGGTCACCTGCAGCGTCCACAGAGTTCCACCATCCAGAACTCTTTGGGCTATTCTCTCAGTGGAAAGGGTCGTGTAGGACTGAACTGGCTGACACATCTGGACAGTTCCCACGCTGTCTTACTGGACTGGACAGGTCATCCACTGGAATGGTAAATGGACTGAACGTGTATATAGTGCTTTGCCACGTCCAGAATGGACCCCAAAGCACTTTACACCCTGGGGCACACTGACAGAGGTGGGGCTGCCATGCACCAGCACCACCAGACCCTCAGACCACCATCAGTAGGCAAGGCGGGTGAAGTGTCTTGCCCAAGGTCACAAAGACTGAGACGGCTGGAACTGGGGATCAAACCGACAACCCTCCGGTTACAGGACGACTCCCCTAACCACTCCACCACAGTTGCCCCATATTAATAACATTTGTGCACCATCTTGTCAGTAGTAGGTCCAAATTTGAAGTCGATACCCTGAAATTTGAGGACATAATAGAGTTTGGAATGATGTGAGAATCGCCATAATTTGACATCTCATTCAAAATGTCCTTTAGGTTTTACATCCTGGTGCCAGGAGACATTTATGTTCGTACTGGACTGATGTATGTACCAGATTTCACATGTGTATGTTAAAGTTATAAGAGGGGCTGTTGTTTAGAGCAGTGATTTCCAACCAGGGGTACGCAAGCATATTACAGGGGGTACATGGAAAAATATCCCAGGTGTGTAAAATAATTAATAAAAATAGGACTGCGATATGTAGGGCCCTATGATTGCGGAAAAGGCAGACGGAATCACAGAATGACACAAAATGGAATCCAGTATACAACACGGAATCTCATCAAATTTGTTAATTTGGGTCAGTTTCTGGTGTATTTTGGACGCTGCTGTTTTCTGCACCTGCCATTCCCTGGTTTATTTATTTTAATTACTTATTCACTTTCAAGGCAATGTTTTTATCTTTAATTTGAGTTGAAAAGAATAAAATACCTGAGAATTAAATGTTCTAGGGAGTTAAATAAATAATTTTCATTTAATAATCAGTTGTTGTACATTACAGTTTTGGATACTAGTGGTATGACAAAATGGCTCAGGTGTACACAAGTCTAAAAAGTTTGGGAATTATTGGTTTAGAGTGTGCTAAAGAGCCAATTTGCCATGCCCACATTTGAATCTTCCTCCACATATTTACACTAGTTGAATGTAACTGCCAAGTTTCATAAAGCTCAGCCCACTAGAAGATGGTGATAAAAGCTTTAGTTAGATAGAAAAATATTAATAATCAGGTCAAAAAACAATAGGGCCTGCTGTTTTACAGCAATAGGGTCATAAATATAATGTACACGAATTAGAAAAAAGTACTAAAATGAAAATCAGTGTGTTTTACAGTCAGCTGGAGTTTGTTCTAGTTCCTTTTAAATGTAAATGAGAAAAGAGTGGGATGTCTGTCAGCAGCTGGTCTGACAAATTTGTAAAAATAAGACTTCTGTGATAAAACATCAGTGGATGATTTTAGAATGTCTGTGAAAATTTAGAATTCTCTTGAGTAAAAAATGACATCTTCTGACAGTATATTTCTAAAGTCAAATGTATTAACAGTGATTTGTTAAAACTGATTCAACAATGGTTGCTGCTACTAGACTTCTTTCAAAGAAGAATGAAGTATTGATCAAACCTGAAGAGGACTATTGCTTTACTGAAACAAACCACCTTTTTTATTGTCTGTTATTTTTGTTTCCCAGATTCAAACTACAGACAGATCTTGGTTTGACTGTCCTGAAGGGGCGGGGCTAATTAATCTGCTGCAGGAAATTGCTACGTCCAACAGGTGCGTTCTTTTGTTGTCTCATTTATTTGTGTCTGTGTCTTGTAAAGTTTAATAAACAGCTAAAACATTATAACCACTCACGTGTAAATTAAACAGTGTTGTTTCCCCTGTGTGATCACTTGCAATGACGGGTCAAACTAGACAGTATAAACACTTTGTCCTTTAAGTTGAAATGTGTGTACCATTATAAAAAAAATAGGGATATGATTAGTATTTCAGCCACTTTGACAAAACCAGATTGTTTGACAGGATACCTAGGTTACAACTGAAGGTTTTGTGGGATGTTTTTAGCCTGTCCTGGTCCATGATAGGTAAACCACTGAACACCAGTGCATTTGTGTAAAACTCTTACTGGACCTCAAAGAAATGGAAGAAGGTGGACCAGTCTGCTAAGATTTCTTTTACACCATGGGAATAGTCAGTCGTGTGTGATTCTCCTTCCTGAAGAGGATCTGGATCCAGGAGGCACTAAGACAAGCCTACAAAGGCTGTGTGATGTTTTAGGAGTCTTCTGCAGGGAAGCTGTTAGTTACTAGTTTTCATCAAGAGGCTATCACCTCCATAAACTTCTTCACTGACTACACCCCTTGTATTTGCTGGCGGTTCTTTCAGCAGGAGAATGTACACTTGAATAAATGATTTAAGAATGGTCTGAAGACAACACATGAGAAGTGTTGACTTTGTTTAAATGCTCTAGATCTCTTCAATCGAGCATCTCTGTCAGTTCCATGGAGGATCTACTGATCAGACCAGGTGATGGAGTAAGAAAAATGAACATTATAACTCAGATTTATACTTTTTTGGGCCTCTAATCCAATACTCTTACTCCAGTTGCAGGCAGAGATACCATGGATTTTTTTTTAGGTATACACTGTGTAATCCTAACATCAAGTCAGTCTGTGTGTTAGACGTATCTGAAATACTTGAACTGCAATTAAAGGGATCTATGTTCAGATGCTTGAGTCGTCTTGGCTCCTTTCAGCTCTGCTTTAGTTCCTTCCTGATGTGTGAGTTTATCCTTCCTGTCTGTGAGTGTGAATCCCAACATCCTGCAGAGGAAATGCGTGGCTGTAACTGCGGTCAGTCAAGCTGTCCATCTTCCATTCCCATCTACTCTCACGTGTAAAAGTGCTCCTCCCTGAGCTGCTAAATCATATTAAGGTTTTCAAGAACAATCTTTGAGTCGTACTTTTTCACCGCATGACTGGGTCTTTTTCAGCTTTCGGCATCACAATTGAATCCAGCTCACCACCTGCTGAGGAACATTTACCAGAGAGGAATCCCCACACCCTACAGAGCACTTAAACCCATCTCCATCACAAAAATGTGGCAATTTCAGGAGGAATTTAAAAAATAAAAAGCTGCAACAAAACAATTTGCTGTCCTCCAATGTTGAGTTGTTCTTTTTCTTTGTGCACACTTAGAAGAAAATGTCCATGAAACGTACTGATTTTTTTTTTTGGTCAATGTTGAAAATTTGAAGGTCACCAGTAACAAGCTATTCAGACTTGTCCCGCCTTTTTTCTGTCATTTTATTACCTTCATGCTTGTTTGAACATATTTGTACATCAAGCACATCAAAACCAATCTTTCTTTTGTTGTTAAGAGGCTTCTGACCCAGTGTCAACTGATAAATGAGTCTCTGACATCAGCTCACACTCTTAATGAAAAAAAGACAAAAGCTCACATTTTTACAATTTTTATTAGCCACACTTGCACACTTTACCTAATTTCCCTCTGGGATCAATAAAGTGTTTTTGAATTTGAATTTGAATTGCATCACAGAAATAGCTCATAAGATTTATAGCACAGATTTTTTTTATCATACATCACACACACATCACATTACAAATCTAAAGATATTAAATGAAATAAAAAATACTCCTTAAGATTTTTTTTCTTAATTGCAAGACACACTCGTGTCAAATGCAGTGCCCATGGAGGAAGTCCTTCTGAGATCTGTGTTAAACTAGTCCTGACACAGGTTTGCCCTTTTTTAGAGAAGATACTGGCTAAACACTCTTAAGCATTACTCAGAGAAACTCCTTCTTTAACATAACTGCTCAATCATTCGTGAATACAAATATTAGTTAAAAGCATAATGTGTGGAAGGTTAGAAGGGGAGAACAACTCAAATTAAGGGATGTGTGACTTATAACTCTGGGGTGTCACAAAGATTTCAAACATATTTTTAACAACCGCACTGCTTTTTTAAAGGTCCTTAAAATACATACAACTTAGCTATCAGAAAGTTATTTGTTTGAAAGGGGGCCTATTATGACAAATCCACTTTTTTAGCCATTAAATACGTATTGTTGCATATTTGGAATCCGTAGGAGTGCCGAAAAGTTGAATTTAATCTCTTGGTGCTGCAAAGATATCTTTATATTATGTTTGGGTCATTTTTTTTTCAAACTATTTAGAAAACCCAATAGAAAATAGAGAAAACTGAACTAATATGTCAAACTATTTGTGATAGAACTTCTGAATAAGGTCTCTGGACTTGCCAACAACAGTTTGGTGGTCTTCATTCTCCTCTCTCTCTCTCTTTCTGGGTCAGACTCTGGCTCCAACATGTAAGGCTGAATGGACACGTGTTCTGTTGTTAATATCTTTTAATCTTTTGTAAATGAAATGTTTCTGCAGAGCTAGATAACCACAGCCCCCTCTATCAAACTAGAATGAACTGGTCTGGAAGCTGGAGGGGTGGCGGGGTGTGAAGCGCCACGTTTGGATTTAAAGGAACAGCCTCAAAACGGGTTGATCCGTGACACACCTCAGAAAAGGGGTGAAAAGCGTTCTAATACCACTCTATGTAGACCTCAATTGAATGACTTAAGTGTGAAAAAGAATTTAAAATTTGCTAGTATGTGGTTATCAAAACAAATCATGTAATGTGACGTGCAACGTGTGTGTTCCCACCTGTATCTCTGCATCTGTTGGTTTTTTTATGAGTTTGTCGGCTGAACACTTGTCCTCCTTTGAACCACGGATTTTTCCTCACTGTAGCAACCATCCTTCTTTTGATCCTTTTGATGTATGAGAGCAGCGACCTCTCACACTAGGACACACACTCACACTGAGCGTACACACACAGGCACACAAAGAATGTGCACAATTAGTTGCTGTCACTCTCCCCTGTACACAAATTGTCTCAAACACACACACACACACTCTCACACTCACAGATCAATAAGAGTGTATTGTTGGCCTGCTATAGAAGCTCTTCGTTTCCCTTCTTTTCTCCTCAGACCTCTCATTTCACCCTCACTACCCCCCCCAACACACACTCCTCCCTTTTTTGTCAATTTTTTGACCCCCCTCCTCCCTCGTGCCGTCCCTCTCCCACTTCTCCTCTTCCCTCCACTCATTGTGTCGGTCTTTCTCTTTCTCCGACAGATGAAAGCACAAACCGTGTCTCACCTTTTGAAGTGACCAAGACCGGCGCCCTACCACTGGTTCAGCTGTAGAAAGAGCAAAGCAGAGAGTTTCTAGGCGAAAGGGCAGGAGATGAGAAGAGTTATGAGGAAAGGAGGGGTGGGGGAGCTATTAATTGAGAGGATGAGAGGAGGCTTGGGTGGAGGCGGAGAGGGAGAATGGCGATCTGGGGCTGAGATCTTAACCCAGTGATGTCATCGAGCCTTTACCATGGCAACTTGGAGAATGCTTTTTTCAAAATCTCAAGCCTGACCAAGAGGGGAAGGATGGGCGTCACCCATAGTGTCTGTTCCTAAAAAAATAAAAATAAAAAATGCCCTGAGGCCCAGAATCTGATCCTAGTTTCTAATATTAGCATCAACCACAAAAGCAGTTTTTTTTCTAAACACACAACTCTGTTTAACGACATCGCTGCTGCAGAGACCTGTTGTACTGTAGAGTTTCACTCATCACACAAATATGAGTCTGGTGTCAAAATTATTTGACCTTTTACCTTACCTGCAGTATGTTTGTGTCTGTGTGCACTTGCTTGTGTGTTTGTTAGCGAAATAACTCAATAACCACTAGATGAATTTTGATGAGACTGCAGAAAGTAACTGAATGTACATCACTCTTTAAATCAGCTGATCTGCATCTGCTGATCAACCTTACCAAACATAAAAGTGGCTGTCGCTCAGCAAAGGTGTCAAGCAATGAAGCACATGTACTTAATTACTTACGCAGACATTTTGGTTATTTATACTTAATTTTTACTTTACGTTTTCATACAGTTATATAGGCCTTCTACTTCTTATTTTAAAATGCAAAAAGTAGTTAATTTCTATTTCACTTTGGCTCTTTTTCATTCTGGCTTGTCGTTCAGAAAAAATAAATCCTATCCAGATATACACTCACCGGCCACTTTATTAGGTACACCACGCTAGTAACGGGTTGGACCCCCTTTTGCCTTCAGAACTGCCTCAATTCTTCGTGGCATAGATTCAACAAGGTGCTGGAAGGACTCCTCAGAGATTTTGGTCCATATTGACATGATGGCATCACACAGTTGCCGCAGATTTGTCGGCTGCACATCCATGATGCGAATCTCCCGTTCCACCACATCCCAAAGATGCTCTATTGGATTGAGATCTGGTGACTGTGGAGGCCATTTGAGTACAGTGAACTCATTGTCATGTTCAAGAAACCAGTCTGAGATGATTCCAGCTTTATGACATGGCGCATTATCCTGCTGAAAGTAGCCATCAGATGTTGGGTACATTGTGGTCATAAAGGGATGGACATGGTCAGCAACAATACTCAGGTAGGCTGTAGCGTTGCAACGATGTTCAACTGGTACCAAGGGGCCCAAAGAGTGCCAAGAAAAGATTCCCCACACCATGACACCACCACCACCAGCCTGAACCGTTGATACAAGGCAGGATGGATCCATGCTTTCATGTTGTTGACGCCAAATTCTGACCCTACCATCCGAATGTCGCAGCAGAAATCGAGACTCATCAGACCAGGCAACGTTTTTCCAATCTTCTCTTGTCCAATTTCGATGAGCTTGTGCAAATTGTAGCCTCAGTTTCCTGTTCTTAGCTGAAAGGAGTGGCACCCGGTGTGGTCTTCTGCTGCTGAAGCCCATCTGCCTCAAAGTTCGACGTACTGTGCGTTCAGAGATGCTCTTCTGCCTACCTTGGTTGTAACGGGTGGTTATTTGAGTCACTGTTGCCTTTCTATCAGCTCGAACCAGTCTGCCCATTCTCCTCTGACCTCTGGCATCAACAAGGCATTTCCGCCCACAGGACTGCCGCTCACTGGATGTTTTTTCTTTTTCGGACCATTCTCTGTAAACCCTAGAGATGGTTGTGCGTGAAAATCCCAGTAGACCAGAAGTTTCTGAAATACTCAGACCAGCCCTTCTGGCACCAACAACCATGTCACGTTCAAAGGCACTCAAATCACCTTTCTTCCCCATACTGATGCTCGGTTTGAACTGCAGGAGATTGTCTTGACCATGTCTACATGCCTAAATGCACTGAGGCATGTAGTACTTGCAAGCTGGTGTTCCTAAAATAAACGGTCAGTTTCAAACTTCAGCCACACTCCTTAAGATGTTTGTAAATGATGCCGTTACAGAATTTACTCATGCCTCTAATTGACTCCCGTCAGCTCCAGTTGCCGCCATGTGATTGGCTGATTAGAAATTAAGTGTTAACGAGCAGTTGGACAGGTGTACCTAATAAAGTGGCCGGTGAGTGTAGTTGTGTGAAACAAGGTTTTCCCCCTTCTAGGTCAGGACTTTGATTAGGCCACTCCAAAGTGTTAAATTAGTTTTTGGTAATCCATTCAGAGGTGATACTTGATGGTGTGTTTTGGATCGTCAACTTTTTTTTATACCATTGAAACATGAGGCCAAGTTCTTTTTACACTGATGAGTTCAGTGCTTGATTTCTTTCTCAGGACGTAGCAACGGCAGATTTTGCCACTTATAATAGTGTAGCAATTTATCCGTTGTGTTATTTTCTGTTTTTGCAGCTTAAGGAAGGTTTGTTTCACCTGCGTGGAGAGCTCCTTTGACCGCAGGTTTTCTTCACAGCAAAATCGTCCAAATGAAAGCTCAAATCAATGATGCCTGAATGGCTTCTTTTCTTTTACCTTACATTATTTTCACTTTTGTTCTTTTACTTGAATAAAAAAAGCTTGTGTTGGTACTTCTACTTCTAAAAAATATATATTTTAACTCTAAAATCTATGCTTCTACTTAAGTAATGAATGTGAATGTTTTTGACACCTCTGCAGCTCAGTCAGTTCTTCAAATAGTGAACTCACACTCAGAGCACCAACACATGGTGACAGTTTGACCTAAATGTATTTAACTTGAGCATTTACCAATACGAGTAATGAGCAATATGCAATCCTGCATTGAAAGCTAGACCTTTGAATATCAAAGCTGCTCTTATGATGATAAATATTAGTTTGTAAATGAAGCAAATCTAACCATTTCTGTTCTTCCTTTAAAAATGTCAAATTTCTCATCACATACAGTAACTGACTCATTTGATAATAGTGGCTGACTGTCTAAGGTGGAATTTGCTGCTGTATTTTTTATTACTATTTTCTATTCAGTTTTCACCAAATACCTGGATTGTACAGACATTTAATGTTTTTCTGTTACTTTGGGCATGTTAGGAAAATACTGTAAAGTTAAGGTTTTGTGGTGTTGAACTGTAATAATCTATTGTCTAAAAAAATTATTTTCCTCTGTCCTTTGTTCAGCTGAAATCTTCAGTTTGGTTTTGTGAAAGAGCAGGAACTTACCAAACTATTTTGTGATCAAACTTAAATGAGCCCAATTTGTTTTTTCAAGCCCCTCAAACTTTGAAGGATGTTTGAGGCCTGTGGGAACTGTGCTAATTAGATTAATTATGGAGGTTTTAATTAACTAAGAGGAGTGGGTGGGCTTCTGCTGGCCTGCCTGTCAGGCTGCCCTCGGACACCAAGGAGGAAGACGAGGATCAGGAGGTAGTTACAGAAAACTTGAGCAAATGTTTTCTCTAAACTTTGTAACCTCTGACAACTGAAGTAACAGAAAGTAGTTGAGCTGCTTTGACAAATGTCAGATTATGATGGTGAGACCACCTGGTCTGGTGTTTGTGTGGAGATTTATCATTTACATCAGTGGTTCAGATCCACACAGCTGCTGAAAATCAACCTAGAGTTCTGGATGGACCGTGTGTGTGTGTGTTGCTTCCACAAAAAACTAATACACTAAGGACTTACACTAGGGAGGCAGCAGGTGCTTTAGATACAATAAAATGTTTCTTTAAATGTAGCAGTAAATGTAACACTCACGACTACAGTACCTCCTGATGTCATTTTGACCTTTATTATACTGAACATTACTTCATGTATCTGTAGACTGTTTCAGGAAACTTCGTGCATTTTAACCAAATGAGCACATTTAATGTGTAACAGGGCCTAAAGTAACATTTAGTTCAATTACATGTGTTCCAGGAGTCATGCTGATGTGACACCACTGGCTGAAGACATTCTTCAGATCTCTGGATCCTAACAGCTCTTCATCTCCAACTCTGCAGATAACCAAAGATGGACCAACATTTAAGAGTTTGTTTGTTTTCTTGTTTTTAAATAGCCAGGTGTTGATTTTGGATGAAGTCTTTTGACATTAGTTATATGCAAGTCTTCTTAAACTAGAAGATAATTGTTAGAAACTGAACTGAAAACAAATGTACAGTACTTGCAAGCTGGTGTTCCTAAAATAAACGGTCAGTTTCAAACTTCAGCCACACTCCTTAAGATGTTTGTAAATGATGCCGTTACAGAATTTACTCATGCCTCTAATTGACTCCCGTCAGCTCCAAATCAAATCAATGACAGTGAAGAATATTGATGTTATTTGACAGCACATTCGAAACACCCAGCCAGTGTTCAGCAGACTGCGCAGGATTACAGGAGCAATCATTTGGACTGTCACATGCATCACAGCACTCGACTTGGAGCCTGCTCACGTTTCCAGTCGGCTTTAATGAGAATATTGACTCATTACAAGATCCATTAATGCGTGAGAGACGGTCAGCAAAGATCACGTTACCATTGTTCCCTGCATGTTTGCTAGGTTTATTACATGTATCTGGTAGGTTTTAATTTATTTGAATATTTTTGACTTGAGTCATAAAAACATGTTTAATTGTCTTAAATGGGAACTCCTGACTAAATGTGTTTGATTAAAAAACATAAGACCATGTGAAGATTTGTAACACAGGACATGTAATGCAGGCAAAACTGTCAGTGATATAAACTTTGTCCTATTTTGGGATAATTGCTTCAAACTATTCTAAACATTTGTTTTCTACACCTGACCAAACTAAACTCTGACCTGATGAATCAGTTGTAGTTTTAAAATGAGACAGACATGGAGGTGAAATGACAGTCCATTTTATTGTTTCAGAACACAGCAGGCTACAGCAACCAGCGCCTCTCACTACTTCACCCCTTAGTAACAGCAGACCAATAGGAGCACGTCTCCACCCGTCCTTTCAGACACTCCCACCCACCTCGGTCAGCTAACCCACCCTTTGGAACAGCAGAGACATTCGTCTCCTCCTTTAAAGCAAGAAAATAGCTCAATATTTGGGTCATGATTTCCAATTCATGTTTTTTTTTATACAAAAGCTACACAATGTTACACTTGATCATCAGAATACAATTCAACTGATTACCTTTAGTGTTTGGACACCATTTAAAATCGCATCCAATTCTTTCCTTGGATGAAGCATCACCACTTAAAAAAAGAAAAAGGCTTAACACTACAGGAGACTTAAAATCCAAGGACTTAGAAAAACAAGAAAATGAGTATCATTATGCAGAAAAATGGAGGGGAAAAGCAAGCTAGATTCAGTTTGTACCATTACAGATTGAAACAAAAACAAAATCAAAAAAAGGAAAAAACAACCAAAAATTGTAATAATGAAAAGGAAAAAAAAATGAATAAAAAAGGGTCGTTGATAATCGATCATGAAGATCAAAATCGGTGTTTCATGTAAAGATTTACTGTATGTCAGCCCCAGATGAAGCTGGGAGCAGAACCGAACCGCACTAAAATCTACTTTGTCCCAATGGAGTCCCTGTAGACAGGAAACTCTGCTTGTTGTTGTTGTTGAGTCATCTTCAGGCACTTTCTGAAACCCCGCCTCCTCCATATGGGCGAATCACGATGCAGGTTCATCCGGATCACATGATACAGCTGCAAAGAGAGGAAAGGAGGAGTCAAAAGGGGGGTAAAAAGACGACAGCGCTGGGGTTGGTGAAGGACCACACACAGAGATCAAACACATCAAACAGCTTTGCAATAAGAGCAGTCTGAACATGCAACAGCCAGAGTCAGTAAATCCACTCTTCTCCCTCCTCACTCATTTCATGTTGAATACTCCCCACTGGGTTTCAGAGTTCAGCTCGACTTAGAAGTGCCTACAGCTGCTACAAGGCTGTACAGAGGAGCAGGGAAGTGGCTCTTACCTAGTAGAAAGTGTAGTGTAATGTTGGTATTTACAGGTCGGTATCAAACCAGGCCAGTTGGTTCGAGTCACCGGGTGGCAGACCCTCTATCAGTTCCTGGGCATGTCCCAGGTCAGGCAGCCCTTCTACAGGAGGGTAGTCCTGGCCTGGGTGGTGACCACCACCCAGATCATGGTCCATCATGGGCTCCATGCCCATAGAGTCTCCACCGTAACCCCCCGAATGGAAGGAACGGTAACTTGGCTCTGGGGAAGCAGGGAGCAGACGGAGGAAAAAGGCAGGGGAAGCAGAGCAGCTGTTAGAAGCTGGTTAACAAACCACACCATCACACAGTAGTACAATCATTTTAAAAAACACCACACAGCAACACAACACTGAACCATCCTCCAGAACACAAGCTGGGCTCAGACTTGGACCTGATGTTCAACATGTTTGTGCTGGAGGAACAAGAGCAGTGAAGCTGCCTACTGATCACTTCACACAGTCCAAGGTGTTAAACTGAGGCACCTGAAAGCTGCAGCTTCTTAAAGACATGTTCTCCTGGCTTTAAACAACATCTCTACCTTCAGTAATGTTCATTTTACGGGTCTGGTCTTGAAAAGGCTGAGTAATTAAAAACTAGATAATTCAGTGGAGCAGTTTGCCTCAGTTTAACGGACCTTGTTTCATCTGTTAATGTTCAGCTCCACAGAGCTGCAGTGTGGACTTACCATCCGGTCTGTAGCCCAGTGTGTCTGCTGGCGCTCCAATGTCCAAACCCAAGTCTGCAGTCTGCACAGCAATTCAGAGACATGTGTGAAAATTCTAGCAATAGCTAAAATAAAATACACACAGGCCTTCAACTCATGTAGAATTCTAAATCTGTTTAAGCTGAAAAACGAGCAGCTAAAAGGACAGATGTGTGTCGTACCTCATTCCAGGACATTGCTTCTGTCCTGAAGAGAGAGCTGGTGAGTTCTACAGAGAGACGTTTCTTGTAGTCTTGGGGTTTGTCCTCCGACATACGGAACAAAACTGCTGCAGCGTATGTTGCTGAGGAAGATTAAAGAGTTGGCATCAAACTGTGTGCTTTAAAGTTTATCTATGTAAACATTTAGGATTTAAACACTTGTAATGTTTTATCAAATCATAACCATCTTTTACTTATTAGTTAAACAAACATGTAAAATCGAGCACCACATGCTGAAATTCATTCATAGCCATTCACTCCAATCTTTTGGTTCTTTAAATTCTGGTTTTCTATTGACTTTTATTTACAAAAACTTGTTTTGTTGTCATTTCAAATTGTGATAGCAAAATGTCTTCATGTACGGTTGCCAGATAATAAAATGACTACAGAGCTGAAACACAGATGCATATAAACGCTAAGTGAATTTAAAAGAACCAACCGTAGGTGTGAATATTTCTGGACCACAATGCACTGTAAAATACTGACACTGAGCACCAAAAGTCAATAACGGAGTGAGTTTCTGTGGACGTACCGACTCCTTCATTGCGACTGTGGAGCAGCTCTGTGAGCGGGGCGCTGGCCCCCTCGGCTTCGATGGCGTCTGCGACCTCCTTATCCTGAGCCAGCTCACACAGAACACCTGCTGCTACACGCTGGATGTTCTCGATAGGAGAATACAACAGCTGCACACAAACATACAGAAGACAATGTTTTATTTGATTCTCTTATCGAAGCAGCGTTCCAAATAAATTAGACACAACAGATCGTTGGTTGGGGGTGGAGGGGGCTGACCTGTACAAAGAGTGGAATAGTGTTGAGTCCTCTGATGACCACTCTGTTGTGGAGGTCTCTGGCCAGGATATGAAGTGCTCCTGTGCAGCCCTCCACTATCTCCTCCATTCGAACCCCCTCCTGAGAACACAAACACTTGATTAGAGACACTTTCTTGGAGAAACCTGAAACAGATGGGGTGGTAACCACTTTTGATCTCACTGGAATTGTGCGAGGGGTCGAGGGGTGGTGGCAGGGGGGCTTTCTGCTGAAATTAAATTGTGCTGAGGCCACTGCCACGCTGTGCTGTATCGACTAGTGGAGTTTATTACTGAGCTGTGAAATCAATCAAGTCTTACCACAAACTGCTGCTGTGTGCCGCCCATGCTGGTACGTCTCTGTGTGTCTTGGTGTGCTCTCACCAGCAGCTGAACCAGTCTGGGGATGGCCCCCTGCTCTCTCAGCGGGGCGTGGTTTGCAGGACACAGGGCCAGGTTGCGAATTAGACCGACTGTAGCCTGATGGAAGAGCAGCCGTGTATTAGTTGTGCTTCTGAATGAAACTCTGAATCGCAGCTAATTAGGATGGCGCTCAACAGATTAGCTGCTCTTTTGAGAAGATTTAGGATATAAAAATAGATTTTCTTTCAAATATTCCCTTCTTACACCAACATCTATCGTCGGATGGTACCTTAATGAGGGGCCAATGCGAGGGCGGGTGCAGCAGTTTAACCACCACAGGCAGGCCGTAGTGCAGCCGCACGGCATTCTGGGCCATTTCTGCGTCCTGGTGTCGAGACGTGAGGTGGCGCAGGGCACAAATAGCCGGCTCTGTGATGTCTTCTCTGTCTCCGGCTCGTAGAACTGTGCGAGTTAATGCCTCAATACCCCCAACCTGAGAAGGCAGCAGATTAATTAATTCAATGTAAACATTAAAAAATGACTTTTAACCAGATGGGAACAAAAAGGGCTGTGTGACCTCACCTGGCAGACCATCATTTTGTTCTTGTAGTTATTACAGGTCAGATTAGACAGAATCCCAGCAGCACAGGTCACCACGTTGATGTCGTCACTGCCGAGCAGCTGGACCAGAGTTCCTAGCAGACCCTCCATTCCTTCCTACAGAGCACATACAGAAAGTCTTAAGTCTACGCATAACCTTTATTAAACTATTGATTTGTTTGCTTATCAAAGTCAAATTTATGTAGTTTTTTTTAAATGTCACTAACAAAGAAAAAATAAATATAGGCTACAAGATGCAGATCTCACCTGCTTAGTGGCAGCATCTGATAAGTTCCTGAGAGTCCAGAGACAATTCTGGACCAGTCTCTGGCTGGGGTCTGTCAGGTGCAGTCCCAGAGCCTGCATACCTCCTGAGAAGACAGTTTCATTGTTGCTGTTTAAAACAAAATAACAGAACCAGAACTCTCGTCCACACATCACAGATAACATACCAGCTTCTACAATGGCAGGTTTGTTACTGGAACACACAGACAGAACTTTGAGGACACGACTCGTGGTCCACAACAGCTTCTCGTATGTGTACGTCCTCATTATGTTGACCAGTGCTTGAGGACCCCCACTCGCCAGGATTATCAACTACACAACGACAACACAGAAGCTTTATTCCCAAACTCAAATCAAATACGTCCAGACTGAAGTTTCTGCGAGCTTCATCCCCTCACCTTGCTCTCCTGGTTCCCGTAGGCCAGTATCTGCAGACAGTCGGTGGTGATGGCCAGGAACTTGACGTTGGTTTTGTTGAGCAGAGCCACCATTTTCTGTAGACCGCCAGCTAAACGAACGGCCATCTTTGCTCCTTCCTGGTGCAGCAGGAGGTTGTGGAGGGTGGTGATGGCATAGAACAGGACAGAATCCACTGGAGAACTAGAAAAGGGCAACACAGTTAGCTTAGGTTCAGTTTTATCACTAAAGGTTTTCATTGCATTGATGTCGGACTCAAATCCTGGATATATTTGTGTCGCCACACATGGAGATTTTACCCCAGAACACAGACACTGGGGGCAAAAGGTTGGCCAAAATAGCATGCTAGGATATCTGTTTCTTTGATAAAAGCACCTACTGAGCTGAGAACTACAGCACATACCCGAGCATTTTAACTAGAGCAGGAATTCCTCCCGACTTGAAGATAGCCAGCAGCCCCTCTCTGTGATGGGAAAGGTTGTGCAGCGTTCCTGCGGTGCAGCGAGCCGTCTCCACGTCGTTCGTGTTCTGCATGGTTCTGACGATGGCAGACACCATTTGAGGGGAGCGCATGATGGCGTGACGAGAAGCTTCCTTCTTTGACAGCTGATGGACCATCACTGCTGCTTTGTTGACAACAACCTAAAAGCAGAAAAATATAATAAAACACCAGCACGAAGAAAAACAAAAAGATCTGAGAGAATCTGGAGTGTCAGCTTCTAAATCCAGCTCACCTGGTCCTCATCGTTGAGTAGTTTGGTGAGTTCTGGAATGGCTCTGGTGGCGAGCTCAGCATCATCCTGATAGTTGATCAGATTGACCACAGCGTGTTTGAGCATCTGTGATGGTTCTGCCAGCCTCTGGACATTAGTGGGGTTTGCAGAATCGTACTGTGTGGAGGGGATCTGCATGCCCTCCTCAAGAGTCTCTGGGAACATTGCTGCACGCACCCGCTGAGCGCGCGTCATGGCGTACTGACCGTCTATGTCTACAACAGACGAGAACAGCTTTAAGAACTGCTTTCAGGATCCCTCAGAACAAGCTGCAAAGCTCTGACTTACCTTGGACTTGTTCCTGGGAGAAGTTCTGGTTGAAGCCCTGCTCCCACTCGTACATGACCTGGTTGTTGTCCACATCGTCTTCCTCGGGGTTGCCCTTCCCGCTGAGGGAGGGGGCAGTTGTGGTGGCTCCTGAATGGATTCCTGAATCTAGGTAGGACTGCTGCTGCCAGTGGCTGACTGCTGCTTTACGGTCAGGCTCCATGGCCATGTCCAGCTCCATCAGATCAGCTGTTTAACAAAACAACATTTTAGGTATTTCTTTACAGTATGTGTACTATTTTAAAAAGGTTATTACTAATGTATTCAAGCTCGTGTTTTGCTACTATTCTGAAAAATAGTTTGATCCAAATCATAAATTCCGTCACTGTCTTTATCCTTCATTGGTGTTACCCATTAGCTCTTGAAGAATCAAGTTTGAGTTTCAAATGAAAATCAATAACCAATTCACTGTTCTTTAATAAGAACATAATTTAAAGGGGACGGTAACTCAGACAACTGATAAATGTAATCCATTGATAACGACTCAGAGTGCGACACAGACGCAGCAATGAATAAACGTCCACAACTCACCCTGGGAAGCCATGTTCCTTTCTCAAACCACAGCCAACACAGCTTCCTGACCTGTGGGAGGAGAACACAATCAGTCAAACTGCCTCTGAACTATTCTGACTGATTTCATCCACTTTATACAAAACATGAAGCATCATTCGAAAAGTCCAAAGAGTTAGGGACAGGAAGTAAATTAATGAAGACGCGAGTTCAAAAGAAATGGCCCCGACAAGCAACTCTTGACTTTTCTTTCCTTTTTCACCTCCTCCTCGTTCCCGTTTCAGACAGATATGCAAACAGTTCCAGCTCGCACACACAAAGGCCTCCATTAAGTGTAGCAGCTCCCAACTATTTAAGTGTGGAAGGACGAGGGAAGTGAAGCGCGGGGTGGAGAGAGGAGGGAGGAGGGCACACATACATTCCTCAACTGGCTTTGAAGCTGAACCCACACTGCACAGAAAGTAAATATCTGCCGTTGGCAGGAGAGGTAGAGAAAGCAAAGGGACGTTAATTTAGGAGGGGAAAAAAACCCAAAAGAGTAAACCGAAAGAAGCTTTCCCCTCCCTGAATCATATTAAAAATATTATGACAAACAAAAATGGAAAAAGGGTAAAATGCTGACAAAGGTCTCTGCTAAAGATGAAAACTGTGGCTTGGAGTTTAAATCCTTTCATCAGACCTTTTCTGAAGTACATTTGTTATTCCAAAATAAATTCTAACCTAATGGACTTCAGTCCCAACATTCAGCCAGGATATGTTGTAGTGCTGAGCCGACACAATGAGGGGAAACGTGGAGAGAAACAAAAACCTTTTAACCCAATTAATGAGACAATACTGGACCTTCCTGCAGTGAACAGACCCAGATATAATCACAGCTCTACATGGAGACTGAACCGCTGCAGCTGCTGAAGAAATGCAATCCAACACAATACATGATGATTATATTAAAAAAGGAGTGGTTACACCTTTTCCACATCTCTTTAGAATGAGAAATATTCTGGACATGAAATGTCTCACTGCACACAGACAATAGTCACATGGCAAGACTGCAGAGTTTCAGTCACCGCACTAAAATAAACCAAACATCTTGAACAGGAACACATTTAAATGTATTTTCCCCATTTACAAGTGCTTTATAATTATTTTCCATTTATTGTAATTATACACAACTGAGCAGCTGCTAAAGCACTTTCATAAAAAGCAAACATTAAACAGCATTTAATATTCAACATACTGAAGACGGTCTTTTGTAGTGACTTCTTTCTGTACAAATGACCACGATTCTTAAAGCCTACAACATGAAACAGCTGTCAGCTTGTTAGAGCGAACACAGTTGTGTTCACAGCTGAGAGGATTTGTAAAGAAAAGTCATACAGGCCAACACTGAAATGAGCGTTTTCCCTATAAAATAACATGGTTCAAGCCAAGCACTCCGTTTCAAAGCCAGCAGCTTTAGAGACAGAAAATTACAAGTCTGAGCCAAGAGAGAAATTAAGATTTGAATCAGACAATAGACCAAATTTGTTTGAAAGTAGCAACAATGATAGAAATAAACAGCCTATTTAACAAGGAATGAGACCTTTTAAATTGAATGTTTCTCAATCAATTTTTTAAATAAATTCCCTTTTGATTATTTTTTTGACTTTTTGAAATAATGAAGTTTCCTAAATTTCAAAATCGAGTTTGTAGTTTCAAAATTTGTAACGCGAATTTATGTTAGAAGAATTGTGGGAAGGTGTGTCCAAACTTTTGACTGGTGATGTAATGTGTTAGAACAGTGTTTCCCAAAGATGGGGTCGGGATCCAAAGTGGGGTCCCGAAACATCAAGGTGGGGTCCTGAAAAGATTTTCTGAATTAATTACATTTTTGTCTTAGTTGTTACAAAAGGAGTGAGGTTAGTATGTTTAAAATGAATAAATGTAGTATAAAAATATTGTTACTATGCCCATGTTTTGTTGACCTGATACAAATGTTTATCATCCAAAAATGGGGGCACAGGTCTCTGCTACTGTTATTTTGTGGGTCAAAAGCTGAAAAGTTTGGAAACCACTGCACTTTGGTTCCCAAAGTTGGGCTTGGGACCCAATTATGGGTCATGAAGCACCTTGGATAATCTCCAGAAATCAATTTAAAAGGGTATGAAATAATTGCCGATGTAATATTTTCCCTATAATTATTACAAAAAACAAAAATAGCTATAAATAAGTTTTTATATTTGTGTACAATGTGTTTAGATTGTCAAAAGCCTGTGTTTTTAGGGTTATTAACAAAGTTTGTGTACTCAGACCAGTAATACTTGGGGTCACAAGTTTTTGCCATGAATATTTTGTGGGTCAGAAGATAAAAAGTTTGGGAACCACTGTGTTAGAATCATTAAATAATTGCATTAACAAGTAATAAGATGGTAGAAAGTACCTGACAGAGTGATGCTACTTTTAAAAATCATTGGAAAAATATTAATAAACATCTTCCTTTGGTTTCAGATTAATTAAACACCCCAGAGACCAATATTCTGAATTATGATGTACATTTTGACAAGAAGAGGTGTTCAGACACTGCCTGTCTTTTGCGGGGTCCTTTCCTCTGCTGACTCAACCAGAAATCAGGTCTGAGAGTTTCAGCGGACAAAATGAACTTGAAAACGGTTCTGGCAGGGAATGATTGTTATTCAGATGATCCAGAACCTCTGGGGTGGGATGTAGGAACTTATTGAAAGTTTTCTTACGCGTTAGCTAAAGTTGAAATCTTTACATCAGCTTGTAAAAATCAATTACAGCAAGTCGCCACAAAACTTATGATTCCACCAAAAAGGGACTGGAGAGGTGTTGTGCTTTATGGTTTTACCGAAACCAGAACAGTCATATGGAGGGCTGACAGACATTCAGATACTTGGTTGTTTAGGCAAATGAATTCTGCTAGGGCTCAGAGGAAACGCAACAAATCCAAAACTAAACCCATCACAGAAACTGAAAAACTGCACTTGGTAAACAAACATATTGAAACCCAGTTCAAGATTTCAAGGTGAAACTTGTGGTTTTATTCTTAAATGGAACCAAGAGTGATATTGCTTCATATGTCTACAGCTGATCACACTACTCAGTCCTGTCACCGGGCAAAAAGCAGAACAGTGAAGACTGTGCTTCTGTTTGCATCATGAAGAGGCGAAAGTAGGATTAAACTAAAATATGATTCACAACTGGAGTGGATGTTACGTTCTTACTAAAAATACAGTACTTTTGGGTGTGTTAACTGTGGAGTGTTCAGATACTCTCCTGATCAGCCTAAAGCCTATTTAAAGATCAAAAAGCAAATGTCTAAAGAGAAAAATAAAATCACTGTCATATCCATCATGTTTTTATTGCATCTGTAATAGATCACTCTCCTTTGGAAATAAGCTCCAAGTTGTGTTGAATAAAACACGACACAAAGTCCTCCGTACAAACTTGGTGAAGACAGAACCTCGACGACAAAACTCCACCTCGTGTGAGCTCCAGCGCAAAGTTTATTTGCTGCCAACATGCAGAGACATCTGCTGAGAGCCCCAGCGTCTGAGCTCACCGAGTGACTAACACACGAGCCTGAATCACGGTCCAAGACCGCTGCTCGAAACCACGAAGGCACAAACTAATCTGCTGTTCACACGCCATCCTTCCAGCACTCCTGGCCTGCCCCCGTCTAACCCAGCACAGGCCTAATGGGAGCCACATGTCTCATATACGCCTGGATACAAATCAAACATACAATCAAAGCACACAGTGGAACCATTTATGATTCACGCCGGTGGTTAAGTGGGTCTTTTATCTGGCTTTGGAAACATTTTCGTGCATTTCTTTTTAAACAAACACAAAAACTTGGTCTCCAATTGAGACAAAAAAAAATACAACAACAAAATAACAGTAAGCTAAAAGGTAAACGAAGAGTTAGCCATCAAGCTAGCAGCCTGGCCACAAAAAACAAAACAAAACCAAAAAAAAAATCTGAATGACAGGTTTCTTTGAAGCCAGATGTGAAATCCAATCTGCACAGTTGTGGCTGGTGCAGTGAAAAGCTCCAACCGAAACCAGATGTCTGCTGCACGACACGCCGGGCCCCCCCGAGTACCACAGCCGGCCTGTGCAGCGAAGCGAAGGAAAACATCACCTTTCGCTACGCTTGGACGAGTCTGTTAGGCAGGTATTACACAAGTGCATTTAGATAGTAAAAACACACACAAGGTGTAGGTGAGCCGTGCTGCCCATGTAAACACTCAAATAACAGGGAAAACCACTCCTGCACACAAGTATTTTCAAAAAAAAACGTCAGCAAATCACAAATTAAAGGCTCAACTGTTTAGAACCAAAAGGCTCCAGCATGACGAGCAAAACTAAACCTCAGGAATAGACAACAAAAACACAGATGTGAGGGAAAAATATTTGCTCTGAATACAGACCGCTTGTAAAGTCAGGTATTACGAGCCAACTAACGCTCAGCATGTTCAGATACCGAAAATCAGTCTGTCATTAGTTTTTGTGTAAACCACATGACAAGTTTTTAGTCTCTAAAGAAAAATAAAACACACAAAAAAGGCTTAACTGTTTACTTCAGGTGGAAGTCATTAAGTACTCAATTCTAAAAAATAAACTAATTTAAAATAAGTTAGTGTAGCAGCCAATTGAGGGGCAAAACAAGTAAAATATATAATTTTTTCCCCTTAATTTGACAGTTTTTTGGCGAGCACAAATCGGTAGCTTAATACTTTGGGTTCTTCCTCACCTGGGAAATGTCTACAATTTTTTATTTTTTCCCTAGAATAAAGCAAACCGAGCTACGCAGAAATGAATTTAAAATTAGACTAAAATTTATTGATTTTGTCACATCCCGTTTATTTCCTTGTGTCAAAACACAGGAAGGGGGGTGGGGGGGGTCTAAGTCCAGATGAGTGAATGGTCCAAACAAGCACTAACATTGGCAGAAGCAGAGAGAAAGAGGCTGCTACAGGCTGGGTGGGTAATGTTGCAGGGTCAGCAGCACTCTGAGCTGCCTGCCAACACCACAATGAACTGAATGCCTGCAGCCGATGCACAACTCAGACCTGGGTCTCTACACACAGAGAGAGAAAAAGTACAATTCTGTGGAGAAACAGGAAACACACAAGAAGGTGACACTTTGTACATTAACTCATTTCAAACAAGACTTCATATGCAAATTTGCAAAAACCTATACTTTCCAGAAATAAAGCATTAAAAAAATCACATACTGGAAAAAAAAACTGAGTATTAATTAGTGTTGAAACGAGTTTAAAATCCCTGTCAACTAAAACCAGACACCAGTGGGTTCACAGGAAGCTGCAGACCTGGGTTCCGGTAATAAACGACCACTGGAAAGGTTTTTGTTTTTCTTTCTCAAAAACAAGACTACTGCCTCAAATCACACCAGCCACGCTGCCGGATATAACACCTACGTTTCCGGCTGAAGTGAACGCGTTATCAGATGAAAAATAAATGCTAACGAGACACTTTTTTTTTCTGTTCCGTTGTGCAGTTTGTTTGGGGATTTCTCAGCTGCAGAAACAGCCGGAACAAGATATTAACAAGGTTTTATACACAAGAGTAAAAAAGAACGAACTGAGGACGCATTTTTTTTTTTTTACTTTTAGTAAATTGTTACAAATATGTTTTGACATAATATATATATATTTTTAAAAGAATGGCGTGTAAGCTAGTAAATCAAAAGCTAAGCCTGATTATCCCAACTTTCTTCGCCTCTTCAGGTTCGTGCAGCTGTGGTTTCAGTTTCTGGCAACAACAACCTGAAGGTAGAAGAATAAAAGTGTAAAACATTTAAGAAAACACACCAGTCTTTGCCTGGTCTCCACAGCTGCTGGCTGCCCCACGACCCCCTTTTTTTTTTTTTTTTTTTTTTCTCCCTCTAAACACCATCGACTCAGATTTCACTCTCTGGCTCCTCCTCACCAAACAGCGGCTCAGGAATTTTGTCGGTCTTTGTTTAAAAGGACGAGAGGAAAAACACTCTTGGAACATAAACTAAACCTGAAACTTAAAAAAAATAAAACTTTTAAGACTCAGAGCGAGGGAGTCTATTTAAAACTGGTTTCCTAAAGTTTCCACAGAACTTCGGTCGAAACGTCAGCGGTATTAAAGATGCCCGAAGCTAACTGCGCGTTAAAAGATTTAAATGAAACCCTCCGATAAACTTCAGCCGCTTCAATCCTCATTTCATATTGTTTGTTTCGCTACCACAGCTGTAAAAAGGGACAAACTTTGAGTTTTCCCAACGTGACTCAGAATAAAGGAATGCGGCCAGCAGTAAGTGGACTAACAGGCTAAAAGCACAACACAACATCAGCCTTTAGCTCCAAGTCCAGTTTAAGTTTCCGAATACAACAACAACAAAACGCATCCAAAAAGATTTTCTACCTAATGATGAAAAGTTGGAAGAAAAATGGCAGAGACAAACCCTCCAAAAAACCCCGTCGGTCGCAGAGTATTTTCAGTGAGAGGAGCTGGTTCCCATGATGAGGCGGTGGCTGGCACAAAAGCGAATCTGCCGTGGAGGCAGCGGAGCGGCTGCTGCTGCTGCAGCCCCATCCCCGGCCAGCCCGCCCCGCACACAACCACCACACCGCGTCCACTCCCGCTGCCATTCAGAACCCGAACAAGAAAAACACAACTAATAAACTATCCTGATGCATCTCAGTAATCCAGGTAAACTAATAAACTAGTTTTAAAAGTCGGTAGTTTAAATGTTGAAGGCTAACCTTATGAATGCAGCAAATCCTCTCACTTGGGTTTCGATTAATAAAAAAAAAACCACCTCGAAAAGGTTTTTAAAAAATAGCTCGAGGAAAATGTGCAGACGAGCGTCAGCGGGGAGCTTTCATCCACTCCCTCCACCAGCAGCCAACACTGACACAGCCGCAACAGCAGAGTCTGGGAAATGTAAGATGGCGGCGCTTTTATATAGACCGAAGAACACCCCCGCTGCTCTGATATCCCTCCAATAAGAAAGCTAAAACCAGTAATGTTTTTTATTTTATTTTGCATTTATCTGATATATTTTTATGTAAACGTCCATGTCTCATTATTATTGGGATTAGATGAACAGTTGAGTTTTAGGGATAAAATTTACCATAATATCTGCGGACTACAGGTGTATGGATATACAATGGAAAGAAGTTCCGGTTCATTAGAATTAAAGAGGAAATCCAAAATTGTTTTTCACCGAGTTTTCTCGGTCTGTTCAAAACATGGACAATTTATTTTCACCTTCATAAATTTGCACTTCTCCCCGACAGACTCAGACAGTAGCACTTGCTTCTGATGCCATCTTCAATTTAACTACTATTTCCCCACAACAACATAAAGGAAAACATTTAAAACTTCAGAAAAATGTACAAAGTGACAGAAAAAATTTGTCTTAAAAAGGCATCATGGGTCACTTAATGATTACTTGTAGAACATCAATGACGCTGATTAGATATAAAACAGAATCCAATAAAAAAATTTAAATAAAAGTAAAACAGACCAAAGAAAACAGTAAATCATGTTGAAATAAAATGTGTTTATTTGTTCACCATGTGTTACGCTCAGATATTTAATAGATAGCTGACACATGTTTGTGAGATTCAAAAACTGGTTTTTGTTTTGTTCTCAAGCACTTGTTCCTGTGGATAAATAAAAACTGTGTGATTGTGCCTGGGGGCAATGAAAGCGAGTCATTCAGGTTAGAACAGCTTCCTTGTTACCTGCTTGCATTAGTGCTGAACTTGAAAGTCAATGATTGTCAGATGCCAGAAAGTTGATGAAACAGACAGCTGTGCTTCGGATTTTTACCTCAAATCTCACATAAAGAAAGGGGGGGTGATTAAAATATCAATGCTCTCATAATTTCGCTGAGTTAAAATTTCAACAATAATTTACAGATGAAACACTGCGGGCATTTCTAATGAGATATTTTTTTCTCAAAAACATTACAAACTTAGATTAAACACGGTGCCTGTTTCCACAAGAAAACCACGGAGCCATTAAAATGATTAGGGATCTATGAGCATGGCGGAAGGTCCTTTAAGCAAATAGTGTGATCTCCCTTTTATTCTCTGATCACAGCCATTCATTTTCAGGTGACTTTCTGTTTGGTTCTATAATAACTTAGTTGGAAGAGAGGCTCAGTGTGCATTACGGGGTCCCTTCAGCAGTGTTTGGTGTGTGTAATAAAAGCTGGAGAGCAGACGATGTATATTTACACTGTTCCTTTATTCAGAAAGAGACTATGTCACCAGCAAACAAAGGTTATGTGCTCTGATGTCATCTGCCTGGAGGGGACTTCTGTTCGCCTTTATTTACAGGGTGTGGGTGGAAGGGATCAGTGAAAGTAAAACACTGACCAATCAATCAATCAATCAATCAATCAATCAATCAATCAATCAATCAATCAATCAATCAATCAATCAATCAAATTGACAAGAATGAAATCGTCACGTTAACATACTGAGCGCATCAGTGAGCATGACTCCACCCTGAGTCATGAGGTTGCAACACGAGCGTTTACAGGAACTGAGAGTGATTGATTACATTTGTGAATTGCCTTCGAACCACGCTGAGAATTACGGCTGTCACTGTTACGTTTCGAGCCAGGAGGTTTCAAATGGAGATGGGAGTCACATGAGTTCGTGGGAGCGTGATTACGAAACCAAAAAAGAAACAAACCAGGGCACGATGACTCACGTCAGGAGAACACCACGACTCGACGTTGCCGGGTTCACCGATTTAGATCACAGTGGAACATACAGTATGTATCTGTGAGGAGGCTGTGGAATCATTAGTCAGGTGACAGCTTTGTGATCACAAGTCTGGTGATCCGTGAAGCACTTAAACTCCAATATTTTCCCATTATACACTCAGAATATCAAACAATACAGACTGTGTTTGTGAGGGCAGACGCTCAAAACGTAGTCTTTGATAAAGTACATTAAAATATATTATCACAAAAGCCCTTTGAACAGAGAGAATGGCGCATGTAGTGTCTGACATAATCATGTTTGTGTTAGATGGCAATTGCACATTAAAGGCTTCACTTGCTCGCTGTTGTAAAGTAGGAAGTACTTGTAAACTCCTTCATGAAAAGACATACCTGCCTTTGTAGTGAGGAAATGTTGTTTACCTAATCTAAACAAAGCCTTTCCAAGAATGCGTGGTTGTATATACAGTACAGTATATGGCTGGGATTTTGTCTCAGGGTTAGTGCTTGAAATATAAAGTGGAAAAAAGTGAAAGTGTGTTAGACAGACAGCCTGAGTGGCCTTGTTTATCAAAATGGTTTTACCTGTATTTTTACCCCTGTTACACCAAATAGTGATGAGGTTGCAGTTCCAGAGTTGAGGTTTAGTTACCATTTAATCACAACCAGGAGGTCATCCTTTCTGTAACCCCTGAAGCTGGATTAAGAGAAAAGTTTCAAATCTGATTTATTTTCGTTGAAGATCCTTCTGAAGTCTAATCTGTGGTGCCCGCCTCACACAAACTTTCCTTACATTAGTTCTAGGAAAACCAGGATCTGTTTTTAAGCTTAATATTTAGCTGATGATACAAAAAAAATTAATTAAAAAAACATCACATCCCTGTAGGTTATTTATAGAAGCATAATAGCCATCCTTTCTGCCTGTTAAATTTAGACGTGTCAAAGTAACTCCTTCCTGTCAAACTCAGCGGGATGATAACACTTTGGTCAGCCATATGACAAACATTTTCTAATAAGTGAAGTCAGAGGTGAGCGCTTTCAGCTGGAAGTCTGGAAATATTCAAAAAAGTTACTTTTAAAATCCTGAACAGAACAATAAAGGGATGAAATGCCTGAGCTAGCAGGAATAATAGGAACGTAGCTCAAAATTAGTTTGTCAGACATGATCAATAACATCTGTTTTTTTTTTACATTCAGATTCAGCTTCTATAGAAATAAACAAATCATTTAATAAAAAATCAGTTAACATAATCGGTCACATCCTCTCCATCATGGCTTATGACAGGAGGATTTTTTTAGGACGTGTGAGGTTAGACATTATGGCTAATCCCGGTGAGATCCTGCAAAAAGATTAATCTATTATTCCTGTGGAAGAGCCCTTCATCCAAAACAGGCTATGCTGAAACGACACAGATGACAAACTTGATGCTGCTCTGCGATAGTGACCCAAACGCTGCAGCACTTCAGGAAAGCCCAGCCGGTGCTCCGCTCTGCTGCTGGAGATCCACCCAGGCATCACGAGGACTCACACCTGAAATCATTCATAAATGTAGATCTGAACAACAGGCGAGACAGCTTATTAACACACACAAATACAAGCATATATTATTTTTACTGTCATTATTAATGCATACATTTGCTGGCTCTTATCTGTTTAATGCAGGGCTGAACTCAGTGAAAACTGACAATATTCTCAACCTCAAATATGGTCTTTATAATTGTTAAAAACCAATCATTCTAATGACTAATGAAAAGTCTGATGCATTTTTTTAATGAGGACAATTTTTTAAACAAGCTGCAAAAGTTGATCAAAAATATTATAACACAAAGCACAGCATGTCGTAGGGAATGTCCTGCTGTATTAACTGTTTATGTTCAAAGCACCAGCAATCATCTTGTGCAGTCAGCTGATAGGGTCCAGGAATGCGAGGAAACCAGGAAATCTGCCCCAGGCTCAGGCTCAGGCTCAGGCTCAGGCTCAGGCTCAGATGAGGACCAGAGCAGGATAATGTTGAGTGCTATTGTTGCACAAATAACACACACATATAACACAGATGTTTTAATCTATTTAAAAGACTGTACATTTTCCAATCTGTGTCAGTCTTGTTTTATTTCTCTTTGTTGAAATATTTTTTTTGCTTTGTATGTGCTGGGCTTGTACAAACACACCAATGTTTGGGGCCTAAACACACCCACAACATTGGGTGTTTGAGCTGCTGGCCTAGGAGATTCAAGGTGTTGAGGGCATGGACCAACAGACTGGTCAATAGCTCTACTCAATGCACAATGATTCATCCATTATCTTCTGCTTAAGTTGGGTCACGGGGGAAGCAGCTTGAGCAGGGAATCCCAGACCTCTCTTTCCTGAGCCATCTCTTCCAGCTCTTCTGGGAGGACTCCAAGGCGTTCCCAGGCCAGTTGAGAGACATAGTCTCTCCAGCGTGTCCTGGGTCTTCCTCAGGTCTCCTCCCAGTTGGACGCTTGAAGCACCTCCCTAGGGAGACTTCCAGGAGACGTCCTTATAAAATGCCTGAACCACCTCAACTGGCTTCTCTTGATGTGGAGGAGCAGCCGCTCTACACTGAGTCTTTACTGGATAACTGAACTTCTCACTCTATCTCTAAGGGGGAGTCCAGCTACCCTGAGGATAAAACTCATTTTGACCGCTTGTATCCATGATCTTGTTCTTTTGGTTACTACCCAAAGTTCATGGCCTTACAAGCTCCCTCTTCACCACAACGGATCCATAAAGAGTCTGCAAAAATGTGGAAGCTGCACCAATCCGTCTATCAATCTGACACTCCGTGCTTCCCTCACTTGTGAACTAAAACCCAAGATACTCAAACACTTCCACTGGAGGCAGAACTTCACCCCCAACCAGAAGAGAGCAATCCACCCTTTTCTGACTGAGGACCATGGACCACAGTGTACCTCAAGGAACACAGTCCAATGCCTTCTCCAAGTCTAAAAACACATGTCGACTGGATGAGCAAACTCCCATGATCCCTCAAGGACCCTAGTGAGGGTAAAGAGTTGGTCCAGTGAGGTTCGACCATTGATCAGATTCTCTTCTCCAGTACCCCTGAGAAGACCGGGGAGGCTAAGGAGAGTGAAGCCCCTGTAATTGGAGCAGAGCCTCTGGTTCCTCTTTTTGAAGAGGGGAACCATAACCCCAGTCTGCCAATCCAGTGGCACTGCCCCAGTGCCCCAAATGATGTTGCAAAGGCTTGTCAACCAAGACAGCCCAACAACATCCAGAGCCTTTAAAAAAATCAGGGCAGATCTCATCCATCCCTGGAGCCCTG